CGGACGCCCCGCGGAGCTGTGCTTCTACTCGGGCCGCGTGCTCGGCCACCCGGGCTCCCTGGTCTCGCTCAGCACCTGCGGCGCCGCCGGCGGCCTGGTACTGCCCGCGCCCCCTCCGGGTCTGCCAGTCGGTCTGTCGCAGCGCAGGGGGTGCCCCCCCCCCTCAGGAGGGCTGGGATTCGGGTGGGGGCGCCTAGGTGGGAACTCCAGCCTCCAGGGCTGCTCTGCCGCAGACCCAAGTGGGGTACGCCTCGGCGGCCCAGGGGAGCGCAGGCCTAGCGGAGCCTGCCGGGCCCCTGGACCGCCGCACACTGCGCCCAGGCGCAGAGCGCACAGGGTTTGCATGCGCACAGGTGTGCGCGCGCGTGCATGTGCATGTGCACGATGGGGAACACCTGTGTGTGTCTCTCCCCTCTGCTTGGGCGTGGGGATGTCCTCTGTGCCTGGAAAAGGAAATGTGGAGGGGACTCCTGACCCGCCGCTCACCTGCTCCAATTAGTTGAAACATGAGAACCAGCGGGGTGAGGGGCTCATACCCTTGTTCCCTTACACTACAAATAGGCATTTGTGCATTGCCCGCCCTGAGCCAGGCCCAGGGGACCTCGCCTTGGTGATAAGACTCTTCCCATGCCCAGAAGCTCCCTGGCTGTGGCAGTGTCTCTCTTTCTCTGTCTGTGCCCCTGCCCTGCTGCATTTGAAGGACCCGCGACAGGTGCGCGGAGGGGCAGGGGAAGTTCTTGCGCACCTCTGGCCTGCCTGGGCTCACAGCCATCGCTGGGCTACATGGGTGCCCAGCCAAATGCTTCCCAGCTCCTCCATGGTGCCGGAGGAGTGCACATGGCTGGCGGATGGGCTGGCCCCTGGCAAAGCCTGGCATGGGCTCAGGGCATGAAACACGCAGCTGTTAATCTCCTGTCATGACCAGCTGCCGGGGAAGCAGTTTCCGATATTGTTTTGTGTCTGGACACAAGAAACTGCTCCCCAACCTCCGCCTTATCTGGTTGCACCATCTAGAATTCCCTAGCCCTTACCCACGGGGGCTGCAACAACTTGCCTAGAGTCTGCAGCTAAGCCAGAAAGCCCCGGGGGTCCCGGTTTTTATGAGACTTCTGCTTGCTTCTGAGCAACATATGGGGCAGGGGGGGGGCTCAGGGGTAATGTCCTGGGACTGGCCTTCAACCGGAACCCCTTCCAGGACTTTTCTGTGTACTGATCGGAATGGGATCTACTTTTGCTCAGCTGGGAGAAATTGGTTTCTTTGGTTAAACTAGGAAAGTGGACCGTGGGTCT